AATATATAATTTCTCATATCATATTTCATGCATAAACAATTAATTCTTTTCATACGCACTTAACTATGTTGGCTAATCACATGTTTAAATATCTTTTAAACATCATTATGAACACATATAACATTTATTTAGGTAATCTCATAATTGACCCAAAAGTTATAAGATATTAAGCGGTCCACTCACCTTGAACTAGCGTTAAGAAGTTCTACCCTTCTTGGTTGAACTCCGGTGAAACTCCGGCGACTTTTGGTCAACTCCGGCGACAACTCCGGTGACTTTTCCAACTTTGTGAAATCACTTGAAATACCCTTTACAAGTTCCTAACAAGGTTTTATAATCATAAAACCCATATTAATACAAATAACCTCAAAACGGCTATTTTCCGGTGAACCGGTCGTTTTGGCTTCTATGTCCGTTCTTGGACATAGAATCACTTTCCAACCCATTATTCCACACTCACACCATGTAGAACAATCCTAAGGGTTCTTCATATGATATATATCTCATATGATAGAAGAAAAATAAGGGAGAAGTTATAATAAGGTCATTACCTTAATTATTTCACACTTTTAGCACTTTAGCTCCTTTTTGGGTGATTCTTCCTTGATGAGCTCTCTTCAACAATGGAGGAAAAGGGGATGGAGGGTTTTTGCTCTTCCTGGGTGTTCCTTGGCCGAAAATGAGGGAGGGAGAGGGGTGAGGCTTACCCCTTTGTCTCATTGAACAAATGAGTGTGGATGGGGGGCCACCTCATTTTTGTTTGATGCTTTATTGATCACATCACAATCCCCCCATGTTCTCCTCTCTACTCCAACCGTCCAAGCACTCAATTTGAGTGGTAAAAACGTGGGTTGGCCCCCACTCATGTGGGAGGTCAACCCTTTTTGTCCCGAAGTGTACAATCGGTCCCGAAAGTTGTATTTTTCGGACTGTTTTAAATATATTTTATTTTATCGGGTCAAATAAAATATATTATGTGCTCTTACTCATTATGGCATGTATAATGAATATACATTCCCCAACTTTAATTTATAAGCCTCCGAAATTCAGTTCGGGCTGTTATCTGTTAAATTACCAGTACCGGTAATTTGGGCTTCTTTTGACAAATCGGTCAACTCCGGGCCTTTCCATGGCCCAAATGAAATATCCACCACTATATATTTATTATATAGACCAAGATGAATAAAATATATGGTCTCGGGAATATCGGGCGGCTCCCGCTCCTGGTGTGGGTCCCACGTGCAATTTACTATTCACGCGAAAGAAATAATAAAAATTTACAACTTCGTAAATTCATTAATCCCTTGGTAAGGTTCAATACATTATTTACATCAAAGTAAATATACTTGGGGGTGGTGTTACAAGTTCACCCCCCCTTATTTGGGATTTCGTCCCCGAAATCCAAGTGTCTAATCGAAAAGAAATGGATATTGCTCCCTCATTGAGACCTCGGTCTCCCAAGTTTCTTCTTCGACTCGATCACTCCTCCAAAGAACTTTTACCATAGGAATCTCCTTATTCCTAAGCTTCTTCACCTGTTGACCTACTATCTTCACCGGCTCTACCGCATATTGCAAATCCTCACGGATCTCTACCGGCGGTTTCTCAAGAATATGAGATGGGTCCCGTATGTACTTCTTGAGCATCGATACATGAAACACGTCATGTATCTTCTCAAGTTCTGGTGTCAACTTGAGACGGTAAGCCACGGCCCCTATCCTTTCAAGGATTTCAAATGGGCCGATGTATCGGGGGTTAAGCTTTCCCTTCGATACAAATCGAATGATGCCCTTCCAAGGAGAAATCCTTAGGAAGACCTCGTCACCGACTCCGAACTCCAACGGTCTCCGCCGTTTACTGTGCAGTTCGGGCCCGGGCCCTTTGAAAGGCGAACCGGCCGGTTCGGGCCAAATTAATTTTTTTTTTTGAATTTTTTTTAAGTTTTTGGGTTGGGCTTGGTATTTTGGGCCATTTGAGGTGGTTTGGGGTGGTTTGGGGGTGAGGGGGGAGGGTTGGGGGTTAATTAGGAAAAGCCAAAAAAAAAATAGAACCGAGGCCCGGCCCGGAACCGGGATTACCCGGGCCGGTTCCGGGCTTCCCATTTCTGAACCGAGGCCCGACCGGGCCCAGGCCCGAACCGGAACCGGTCCACCCATAGTTATAGTGACATTCAAAGTGACACAAAAATCTTACAGTAAAATAACAACCTGGCAGTGACATAAAAAGTAGTGACATCATATTTTTCGATATATGTGACCTTCTTAGTCACATTTTTGTCCTTTTATAAAAAAGCCATTTTTGGGAATTTGCTTCAATTAGGTAATATGCAAGGAAAAAGCCTTTGTAATTAGCTTCAATTCTAAAACGCCTAATACGAGATTCAATGTAATTACTAATTAGGGGTGGGTCGGAGAAATCGAAAACCGGATTGAAAAAAACTCGAACCGCAACCGTAACAACCGAACCGCGAGAAAACCGAGACCGAACTCAAAAAATCAAACCGAACCATAGTTGTTTGGTTTCGGTTTTCACATCTCAAAACCGAACCGAACCGAATAAACCGAACTTTTTAAAAGTTGTTATTTTATTTATTACTAGTAATCATTAAGTATAATATTTTGTTTAGTTCTTAATTCTTAATTCTAGAAAATTAATGTTTGATACTGATTTATCATGATTTGCAAGATATTGACATTTAATATTTATTGCTTAATTAAGTGAAACACTTGTACGTAAACGTAAGTCTGTTCCTATAATACTAATATGTTACTAGTAATATTTTAAATCGTAATTTACATTTTGCTTGTTGTTGCATGACAATTATACTTTTGTTGATATATTATATGGTATGTGTTCGGTTAATGGTCCAAGTAGAAGTTCGGCCCATTTACCTTTTCATTCGGACGTACGTCCGGACAGAACTGGGTAGGCTAAGCTAAACAGGCAACTTGGAAAGGACGAACGTCATGACTAAGGCTTTGGCTTACCAGCCCATTCCGACGAACGGCTACTCAGTTGACGGCGAGTCAGGCCCGCAGACCACTAGGATGACGACGAACGTCGTCAGACGAGCCCATAACCACTGGAGGCAATTCAATCCATAAGGCAAATCCACAAAGGCCAAGGGACGAACGGCCCACTACCCTTTGCGATATCACCAGGAAGCGACTCACCTCCCCCAGCTGGACGAACGTCTCCACTAATTAGGCGGGAAACCCAGATCCTGGCGGGAAACACATTTAATGCTGAAGATTTGGTGGTTGGAGCACCAGCCATTCACAAGCCTCCACGTCAGCATAGCCAGCTACCCATTGGTGGTATAAATAGCAGCATTTATTTCATTGTAAGGGGTTAACAACTTTCTATTCTTAGCACTCTAGCTTATAGCCTTCTTACCCGCAGCACATCTACTACCTTGTAAGACGAACGGCCGACGAGCCTCTAGCAAAAAGTATTGTATTGGGGAGTTATTAACAGATTAATAATACCTAATCACTTACTTGCTATTTACTGTTTCTTAATCCATCTCACTTGTTAGTTGGGCTAGTTTATTCATACACACTCCACTCGAAACTCTTGGGCTTACGTGTTGGACCCGAGGGTTGAAGGAATAAACCTCAACAGTATGTATGTTTGTTATCACATAATTTTTTATATTGAACAAATATGTATTAATATAAACTATATTTTAAACAACATAGCAGAAAATGTGAAACTTTAAAGCATAAATATATTGGCTAAAAAAGGTAGATTAAGTTATTTACTAATAAAATTTTAACTTGTGAATACTCTGTATATAATTCACAAATAAACTCATGCATTTAATTAATTTTTAAAATATTTAAATTGGTATACACATGCTCTCTAATTCATTGCTTGGAAGTGCATTTGTTTCTTCTCTCTTTTTTTAATTATGTATGTTTTTGTATTGTATTAGTAATAGTACTAGTTTGGTGTAGTTTAATTTCCAATTACTATTTTTCTAATCAACAAAAATACTTTGGTAAAACCGAAAAAAACGAAACTGAATCGAAATAAACTGAACCGAACAAAATGTGGTTCCAAATTTTTGAACATAAAACCGAACCGAACCGAACTTTTTACTTTGGTTCGGCATTTGGTATTAGGTGAAAACTGAACGGTTTGAACCAAACCCACCCCTACATGTAATCATTCTAACTTAGAAGTGCACTGCTCACGCAACAATAAATATAATATACTTCTTAAGACACTCTTCATTCCATTGTGGTTGTCTTTTCCTTTTTATTATAAAATATATGGTCTAATTCCACTTTATTCTATTCGAAACGTCAATTAATTTTATTTTCTAATCACTTTACTAATAATTGTGTCGGATTAAAACAAGATATCCATGACGGGAAATTGTTTGGTTGAACTCTAGGAAGCACGAAAACTCTCCATGGCTCACGTTTCCACGTTTCGGAAACTCGGAAGCGTTTCGGAAACTCAGAAACTTCAAATTCCCGTTTCGGGCCATTTCCGTAATTAAGAAAAATTTGGAAACCCGTTTCACTACGTTTCGAAACCTCGGATTCCAATTTTTTTTTCTTTTTCAAAAGATTCTGTGGTGGAAAATAATTTTTTATAGTCAATTTTTGTGGTATTTCTCAGCGGCAACACTTATTACATTTCGTAATGCAATGTATTATTAGAAATGTATTACTCCGTACATTTTATGTTTAATTTTGCACTAATATGAAATAATATCTAAATTCGAACATGTAGAGTGATTTTATTATTTGGTTACTAAACAAATTATATTAAAAAAACATGTGCATATGGAAAAACTTGTGTACATATATTAAAAAATATTTATAAATATATCCTTATATTTTATAATATTTACACGTTTCCCAAACGTTTCATGTCCTATATTTTTTTAGAAATTACGTTTCTCGCGTTTCCCGTTTGCGTGCTACTTAGTTGAACTAATTGCGTGTAAAGTGGGGTGGAAACTCAATATCCTAAATTATGGGGCTCAGTAAATTGGGGAGTAAATGGAGGACGGAGGGAACATCTAAAACCACTAGCTTGCTCAATACTCCAAGATAACCCAAACAACACAGCAAGAAACAGCCCAAAATACATAAACCCCTCATAAATCTGACCACCTCATTCTTCACAGCTGCCCTGTAGTGTGTGGAACTCGCTCCTCTCTCGCCTCTCCGTCTTCATCACAAGGTATGGCGTCTCCCGCAGTCTTAAAACATCTCATTTCTCTTCTGAAAAGCAGAACAAAAGAAATGATGTATGATTATTCCACTAGTTTCTTCCAGGGTCTACAAAGATGAATCTAAACAATGTTAACATTCCCAAAATGCCCGGTGGTGGTGCCGCGTCCGCTCTGATCAAGTTCGGTCTTGTTGCTGGGATTGGTGTATACGGAGTTTCCAACAGTCTGTACAATGTTGATGGAGGGCACCGTGCCATCGTCTTCAACCGTATCAGTGGTATCAAAGAAAAGGTGTTTTTCCTCTAATTGTTTGGTAACTATTGTAACGTTGATGCCACGGACATGAAATTTGTGACTATTGTTGAATTTTATGCTCTAGCTTCATGCCTATTGCCCTTCTGCTTTATTTTGTTGGTCATGGCTTACTTTGCTTTGGCATTGATATTTCATATTTCATTCTCAAATTTATCTGTGGGTGATTGTATGATGAACCAACAGAAGACTTCTTATGATTCTGATGAAGATGGTTTGCTTACCAAAATAGGTGAATCTTTTGCTGATATAGTCATTGTATATTTGTATGACGCATGAATGATTATCTTTATAGGAACAAATTCTAATAAGATCAAGAATCAAAGGACATGCTCCCGCTGAAAAAACATATTATAAGCCACCCTCTTTCGTTCTTTTCCCTAATACATGTAATTCTCACTAAAGATTGGGATATAATAAACTAATAATGCACAACTTCATTGATATTAGCATTGGTTTGTGTTTTTTCTTTTCCGCAATCATGTACAAAATTTGTGATATGATTTTAAATTCTTGTGGAGCCTGTTCCTCTGGGGATTAATATTTGTGTTTGAACTTAATTATGACTGGTGTCTAATTTCATCAGGATTATATGGTAACCTTTTATTAGCTCGACAGTTTCCAATTTCTATCAGAGTCATGTCTAGCTGTATGTGAAAGGACTTTCTACAAATAAATTGAAGTTATTTTTATGATAACCATTGGTTTTGATTTTCTATATTGAACATACTCCAATTATCTATATGATTATCTGGCTTTGATGTTTCCTTATAATCTGCCTACTTTTCAGACATAATCTTTAAATGATTGTTGATAGGTCTACCCTGAAGGAACACACTTTATGATTCCATGGCTTGAGAGACCAACCATTTATGATGTTCGTGCAAGACCCAATTTAGTAGAGAGCACATCAGGAAGTCGTGATCTTCAGATGGTAAGACTCATTCCCTATTTTGGTTGCTTTCGCAATCTACCAATGTATCATCAATAAGTTGATGAAATTAATTTTGGATTGTAAGGTTGCTTTGCTATTTATCACTTGATAAAGCGTTGCTTATATAGGTGAAAATTGGTCTTCGTGTGTTAACACGTCCTATACCAGACCAATTGCCTACTATATATAGGACTCTTGGGGAGAACTTTAATGAAAGAGTGCTGCCTTCAATCATTCATGAAACCTTGAAGGCCGTGGTTGCCCAGTATAATGCTAGCCAGCTTATCACTCAAAGAGAGGTGATCTTTAGAGTTTAGATGCTTACTAATAAAATCTACAGAAATAGTTATTTAAAGAGTATTCCACTCTAGCTTAGAGACTCTTTTTGGAAATATGCAGGCAGTGAGCAGAAAGATACGCGAGATTTTGACTCTGAGAGCGGCTAACTTCAACATCGCATTGGATGATGTGTCCATTACTAGCCTGACTTTTGGGAGGGAATTCACCGCCGCCATTGAAGCAAAACAGGTTGCAGCTCAGGAAGCTGAGAAAGCGAAGTTCATAGTTGAGAAGGCTGAACAAGATAAGCGCAGTGCTATTATTAGGGCTCAGGTTAGTACACATTCCTAAAGCTTGATTTAAAAGAACCAAATATTTGAAATAAGCTTTAGATCCCACAATATTGCCAAAACAATGACAGTGGAGGTATTTTACATATACCACGGTACTACCTCCATTCCAAAATAAATTCCATAGTATGTTTTCATTATAAAACTAAATTCTCTTCTAACAAGTAACACCACATAAATTAGTGTTACTACTTACAATTTTCATATTTAGAAATTATACTTGAAATTCTATTGAATCACGAAAGTTTGGTACAAAAATTTAGTGATTTAAAGCAAGTTATGCTAATCACGAAAGGGTGCTTTAAACTGCTTTTCACTTTTTCTATTACACAAAAAGTACTTATTTTACCAAACACTACCAACTTTTACTTTTTCAGAATCACTTTTTTCTCAAACACTACCAACTTTTACTATTAATCACTTTTCCCAAAATCACTTTAAAAAATCACTTTTTTGAAGTTGAAGCAATTGCAAACACTCCCTTACTCAAAGGGAATAAACCCAGAGCAAATGGATCCAAACTGGGCCTAAAAAAGTCAGAGCAAATGAGCAATACCCTGTAGTGAAGGGAATAAACCGGTTTGAATCTGGTCTTGAAAAGTCACCCAAAATTGTGTTGGGGTTTGTAGGGTGAAGCTAAGAGTGCACAGCTGATTGGGCAAGCCATAGCAAACAACCCAGCCTTCATCACACTGAGGAAGATTGAAGCAGCCCGAGAAATCTCTCACACCATATCAAATTCGTCCAACAGGGTGTACTTGAGTTCTGATGATTTGCTGCTCAACCTTCAAGATATGAACCTGGATGGTGCTAAGAATTGAGCAAAAAGTTTTCTTGTAGCAAACCTCCAAAGCTGAGATAAACTGTTCAGTTTAGGTATGCTTGCTTTTGCTGCTGGTTGTTGAGTGATACTGGGAGAGAACACACTAAATGTTACTACTGACTGTCAGAGTAAAACAATGCAGACGTCTTTCTATGTACTTTTTCTTAATTCAGAATGGCGAAGTTGTGATCAATAATGGCATCTTTGATCATTCACGTCATATTACAAGGTGATGATATTGCAAATTGAAAAAAAAACAAATATTTGATGCCAACGTAATGGGAATTTTGATCAGACTTTAGATTTACAGTGCTGGTGATTAAATTTTATTAAACGGCATATCATAACATTGTTTGCTCTGGTAATATTGCAGTCTTTAGCTTGCTTAAGCATCTAATAGATACTCCGTAAATGTTTTAATTGAAATTTATAATGACTCTGTACCTTTTACATTTTTTATACACTTGTTGTGCATCTCAGTAAAAAAAATCAATTTTGATTGCTTAAACAATGACCAAAGAGCACTGGCTGGCATTGTTTTTTATTGCGCTAAAGTGAGTGAAGATTGTCTGGATATATTTGAAATTTGCATAAATTCTTTGTAGAAACTGAAAATTTAGTAAATGTCCATCTTTGCTCACCTCGTGGTCTTGTGGATTTCCCAGGCTTCCCAGCGCGCCCAATTGTTTTTTTACCTTTTCTTATCTACTGCAATAGGCTGTCTCTTCTATGTGGTGGATGTAGAAATTTTCTAAAGGGTTTGACAATTGACATCGGTTTATCCTGTCTACTTTGTGCATATAATATAATTATATGTATTCCCCACACCATATATAAACCCCCTAAATTTTTACCCTTCTCTTTCCACCTTCTCTTTCGTGCGCAAACCTCACACAGTCACACTTCCTCTTCTTTTTTCCATTTTATCACCTTCACATCCACAATCCCTCCACCTTCTTCACTACTTCTCCATCTTCACCATTTACATAATCTTCTACCTCCATCTATCTCACCCCATCTTCACCATCTTTCATCTTCACCATCTTTCATATCCATCCATCAGAAAATTTGTTTGTATACACAGACACTGCTTTTATCAATGTCTGTGTACATAGACAAAATTATCAAGCGCAAACAAAAGGTATACAAATTGTCTGTGTGCAAACAACTACTACCTTCGTCCCGGAAGTAAGTTCCCACTTTCCTTATTTGGATGTCTCAAAACAAACTTCCCATTTCCTTATTTGGCAAATTATCTACCTCAAAACAGTGTCAAACAGTGTTGAAACAGTAAAATTTACCTCTTAGTAACTTTATTTCCTTATAATGTGTGACAGTCAAACTAAGAACTTGTTTCCGGGATGGAGGGAGTAGATGTTTGTGTATAGACATTGGTTTGCGTGTTGTGTTGCAGAAATGCCAGAGTTTGGTTGCATGGAAATCAACGTCTTTGCACAGACATTTAATTGTCTGTATCCAAACAATTTGTAAATTTTTTGTTTGTGCTCAACAATTTTGTCTAGACACACAGATAGAATTGTTAAGTACAGACAAAAAAAATTGTTTGTGCACAAACAACTAAATGTCTGTATACAGGCATTGGGTTATGTGTTCCATGGCAGAATTGCAAGTGTTTGGTTGCACAAAAATCAATGTTTGTGCACAAACATTTAGTTGTCTGTACACAGACAGTTTGTAAATATTTTGCTTGTGTTTAACAATTGTCTTTGTAACAGACATTGAAAAAAAAGCAGTGTCTGTGCACAGACATTTAGCTGTCTGTATACAGACATGTTTAATTTTTTTGTTCTTAATAATTTTTCCGAACACACACACTGAAAAAACCAATGTCTGTATACATAGAAAAAACTCGGAGAATATTCACTCTAATTTTCTGATGACTTTCTGACGAGTCTCAAACTTCTTCTTTTCCTATCCTAGAAGCTAATAAGTAATAATGATAAAGATGATGAAGTGATGGATTTGGAAGATGATGAAGATGGGAGGTGATGAATATATATGGTGAGGTAGATAGAAGTGGAAGATTATGAGATGGTGTTAGTGATAAAAAGATGTACAAGATGATGAAGTGGGGAGATGATGAAGATGAAGATGGAATAAAAGAAAAGAAAAGAGTGAGTTGGTTGGGGCCTTGGGGGAGAACTGTATGGAAGAAAGAGAGACTTTGTGAACAAATAGAATTTTTTATAATTAGTCTAATTTTCAACTCAGTAAGACAATTCTAAACAACAATATTTAGTTTTTTGAAAGAAAGATATAATTTGAATTAGAAATGAATCGCCTTTGCACCGTATCAGATTTTAGATTAATATTCTAATTATTTTCATATTATAAACAATCACAATTTCAGTTTAAAACTAGATTCATGTCCCATGCTACACGTCGTGTCACATAGTTTGTTTATATGTACTTGTTTGAAATATAATATCATTGTGTCTAAAAATGATATACAATTCAACTTTACTATTACATCCGTCAATATAACTCTATTTAATAATTTGATTTTACAAATTGAACCTTTATCATATTACATTATGACATATTTCTCCATAAAAACAAATCGATAATTCCCCATCTTTTCTAGCAAGCTATTAGCAATGCCCCGTAATTTTAAATCAGTTGCATTATCAAATAAATTCTTATAAATTTGATATGTCGGAGGACACGAACAATGGATGTATAATGTGAACCCCAATATGTAGCTTCTGATCGAATTAAACTACTTTCTTGAAACTACTTTCTTGGTTCAATAATACCCCGTTTGTAAGTACACTCATTTCTAACATCTCTGTCATGTTTTCCTAATACTTTTATCTAAACTCGTCTTTACTTTTGCCATCTCACGATTAGAATTGGTTAGAAAATAATGAATGTATATAAATTTTCATTACATACTAGATCATATCAGAAAATTAGTTTGTAAGGTAGAAAAGACATCATCATTTCACAAGGAATCACAGAGACGAAGGAATTCCACATGTGTAATTGAACCATGAACTTATTATTAGCTAGTCATCTATTTTCTGCAAAAAAAAATCTATAACTTATACAGTGTAAATGAAAAATCCATCAAAAAATTATGGGGAGTATTAAAATACTACCTCTGTCCCAAAATGATTAGCCAAATCCAAAGTTTTGACCAGTTATATATATTTATTGGAAATTCTTTATAATATAAAAATTATATGAAAATGTTCTTTGTTAAAAGTAGTTTAACAAAAGTATAAAAATTATAACTTTCATAATATTATACTAATTAAAACCATGGTTCAAATTTTGAGATTCGGGTAACCATTTTGGGATGGAGGTAGTATCAAACAAGCTTTTGAAACAATAAGGACAGGAGTTTTAATCCAAGTTTAAATAATTGGTGTTATTCATAATAACTTCAGTAATTATACTTCATTTGTCAGCATCTTATTTGTTCTACATTTAAATAATTAGTTCTATCTATAAAATGTGAAATGATACATCAAATATTTTACAATAAACACTTCAGGGGCAACAAAAAGAAATTCATGTTATTATACATACATAAGATAGTCTTGATTAAAGGACATTTGTTGTCTCATTCAAGCAATCACCGTTATTATCTAAAATTAAAATTTTCAATCATTTCGGATTCGTAACTCGTGAAACTGCCACATATAATTGATCATGATTGAACACCCGTTTCTTCAATAATAAGTCGACTTGTGCAAGAGATAATCTTGATTATTGTTTATGGTCATAGCATACGCAATCATGATAGGAACTTGGAAGTCGGAAGTTATCTTCGCCAAAGCCAAAATCACATAAGGTGGAGTTAAAAAATTGCGTGAAAAATTGTCTTAGATATTCCTAAGCAAAAAAACTAAAAAAAACCATATGCCATGTAAATATTAGAAAAGCTTCTGAGTTCTGAATAACAATTTGTTGTACGAATCTCACAATTCGTAGTTCATACAAAAATTCTTAATAGACTTGGAAAAATACCATCTAACTCACTTTATAGATCTATGATAATAAAAAAAAGAACTTATTTTATAGATCTGACTTAATCATTTTATAAGTTATTTGATTGATCTTGAAACCATATTATGCATTTTTACGCATCTGAATTTTTTAAATCTAAAAACCTTAAAAGCTACGTCGTACTCCCTCACTCCGTATTTTTTTGTTTGATACACTTTCTTTTTTGGGATGTATTCAAAAATTTGCTATACTTTCTATTTTTGGTAAGTTTTTCCTTTAAAAATACTCAATCACCCTTACTTTTTCTATTTTTTATCTTCTCTTTTATACTTTTCCACCATCTCTCCTACTTTTTCTACACTATTCATTACCCCTATTATTTGTCTATTTCACTCTTCAAAAATGTGGCAACACCTATTGTAGCAAACAAAAAAATACGGAGGGAGTACCAGAGTACTTCGTATTTAAGAATAAAACCTTAAAAAAACTAATAAGAATAAAAATATACTCCGCAGAAACCTAAAAAGAATCTAATCGATCTGAGATATAAAACTTAAAAACCCATTTAAATAAAAATTCATTGTTTCAATCTAAAATTCTACTCCATAGAGTACTTTATCAATTTAGAGTGGTCACTTGGAATTACTACTTTAAAAGCATTTTTTAAAAGCATTTTTTATTCTTAGGTTGTAACAACTTAGGATGTTTTTACTTGGACTGTAATTTGTCCCAGACCAGACCAGACTTGAATAGTTATAAAAATACAAAGAACTCAGAACTTACCAGACCAGACCAGACCAGACCAGTTCAGACCAGACCAGACCAGCAAATTACAGTACAAGTAAAAACATCCTTAGTATGATTCGGGCTGTGAACGTTGCTTTGAGTAGGACTGGCAATATCACCCGCACCCGCGGATACCCGGTCAATCTGAACCGAAAATATGGATGAAAACCCGAAGAAGTATGGATGAAAAATGGATGACGGATGAATCGAAAGACGAGATGGATCGTGTGTGGATGAAGGCTCATCCAACCCATCACCCAACCCGTCACCCGTTTCATCCACCCACCCGCTGACCCGCATATAACTATATAATATATAATATATATTATATCTATTTAATAATATATAATAATAATAATTAATTGGTGAAACAAAGATAATTGGAGAGCTTTGTTTTGTGCCGATGCATAAATGCAGTTCAATAATGATGGCAGTTAAATAGCAAAAATAGTTTTGTGCCGATGCATAAATGCAGAATTTAACATCTTGAAGAAGTTTTATGTCTATTTTGTTTAACATTCAATTTTTTCTTTATCACCGACAGTGAATTAATGATTGTAATATATTTAATTGCTCATGTTTTTGTTGTTATTTTACAATGAATTCTTAATTTTTGGTTTTTAATTCTCATAATTTCTC